TTTCGCTTTATTTTTACATTTTTCGATCACAGCGCGATGTTTTCGTTGCGCTGTGATGATGTCAAATGCGCACTTTCGTCGACCGCGATTTTGTCGTCCGCGGTTTTGTGGTGGAACCGTTTGAATGCATTGATAAAGCCTTTACATAAATGTATTGTGTCCACACAACTACAAAGGGGCCCCTGTGTAGGTAGAATGTAAAGTCTTGTCAGCTGTACATATTAAATAATTGCTACTGCTAACTTATTGCATAAAAATATCCTAACTAGCTGCTTCTGAAGAAAGAGTCTCAGTCCGTGCATTGATTTCCATGTCAGTGCTGTTCTTTGAGGCACATTTTGGGTTTAAATTTCATTGTATTAAATGCTCCCTCTACAGCTTTAGGTAGATACATTGGATATCTCTGCAGTTTCTTTCTGGAGCTGAATGTTCTTTCTTGGCCTTTTCCTTTGGATTGGCTTGTAATCGCTTGTACTTGGCTGGTATCTTGGGAATATCTCCGAGGGGCACGAAGGATCCAGTTGGAATGTAAGCTGTGTTCTCTTGAACTAGAAACAACTGAAATATGGAACCAAACTTAGTATAAATGTATCTTTACAACAAGGACAACAAAATATGTAGATGCCACTTAGTTTCTGTACACAGAAGGCTCCATGTTCAGCCTCCAGTATTTCTTGGCAAGATATTTAAGAAAGCGGCTACTAGTAAAACAAGGCTAGATGGACCAATGATCTGGGTCAGTAGAAAACCGCTTTCTGTTTTTTCTGAACTAGGGATAGGCTAACTAGATCACAGGATCCAACTCCCTCACTATGCTCTAACTATGTCCCCCAAAGGACTAGAATCACTGGGTCACTGAAATTTAGTGTTAATAGGACTGAACAACTGTTTGTAAAGTTGTCAAAGTAAGAGTAGAAATGAGTAGGCCAAACCACAGTGAGGCAAAAAAAATAATACACCCATTTCCATCTTTAAACCATTTGCAGCTCCCAAATCCATAGTATTATAGGTACATTCTGAAACTATTTTCTGGAATATTTATGTAATATGGTCACCTGATAGAATTCTATTTTCACGATTAATTTCTAGCTGAATTCACCCAAAGAGAGATAATAATAATTGCTATCGAACATTTTAACTGATTATTTAAATTGGTATGTGACAAACATACAGTATACAGGACCAATACTGTATTTGATATTATGGAATAGGGAGAAATTAGACGGGGAATAACTCATGAAGTGGTTTTACGAGGGGTGAAGTGACAGAAGCCACAAATAAATAAATCTGAAGCCCTGTGGACTGAAAGAAACAAAGGATCACACAGGTAGGCCTAGACCTCGGATCAGAGGTGGGTTGCTCTCGGTTTGGCCTGGTTCGGCCAAACCGGTAGTGGAATTATGGCCTGGGTTGCAAAAATCGGCAGCGACCCAGGCTAGCTATATCCCCAAACTGGTTCCCTGATCTCTTATGCCATTGCCGGCATGTTTCTGCGCATGCTCAGAACAATATTTAGTCAACTGCGCATGTGCCAGCAATGCTCAGCTGGGGCGCACACACAAATGGCACGCACAGCAAACAGGGGCTGACCAGTATAGGAACCCACCCCTGCCTTGGATAGACCATATTCTATTTTTTTAATGGGTTAGTCCAAATGGAGTAGTCTGCTTTTGCTCAACATTAAAGTGCTGGAATGGGACAGCACCCATTTAATTATTCTCCTCCATGCATCTGACTGGATACAGAAAGTTATCCTAAAATTCCTTATGCATTCAAAAACCAAAAATCTGGAACAAGGGTTGCAGGGAAGAAGAAAAGGAAAAGTTACAAAAATAGCCAAGTACTGCAAAATCGATAGGTAACAGGCATGTTATACTAATTATTTATTATTTTTAAGTCAATCAGTATATTATCCATCAATCTTCCAAGCAAAAGTATGGAAAACCCATCCCTGAATGTTTTTGTTTGGAAGAACAGCAGAGATGGAACTTTGTTCAGTTCCCAGCAGAAGCATAAGTATACTACTTTGATGTACCGTATTTTTCGGAGTATAAGATGCACCGGAGTATAAAATACAGCAAGGTTTTGAAGAGGCAAATTTTTAAAAAAAGTTTTTGCACTCTGCAAACCTCCCAAAAACCGCCCCATTTTTCGCGAAAACAGGCCCGTTTTTTTTTTTTCAAAAAAAGTGCATGGATAGCCTTTAGGAGGCTTGTGGAGTGCTCCTGGGGGGGGGGGACAAGCAAAAAATAGCCCGCTTTTCACAAAAACGGGCCGGTTTTTATCAATTTTGCCCCCACTCCACCCCCCAGCAGCACTCTGAAAGCCTCCTATAAGCTATTCACAGCCATTTTGGTGAAGGGGGTGGGGTTTGGGGAGCAAAAAAAGGCTGTGTTCAGTGTATAAGACGCACCCGATTTTCAGCCTCTTTTTTGAGGAAAAAAGGTGCGTCTTGTATTCCGAAAAATACGGTATCTATTATTTACTCTTATATCTATGTGTTGTGTTTTATATGAATCTAGGATGATAGCACTGGCAATAACACTTAGACTTTTATACCACTTCATAGTGCTTTAGAGCCCTCTCTAAGCAGTTTACAGAGTCAGCATATTTCCTGGGGCCTCATTTTACTCACCTTGGAAGGATGGAAGGTTGAGTCAACCTTGAGCCAGTGAGATTTGAACTGGCGAACTGCAGCTAACAGTCAGCTGAAGTAGCCCATAGTACTGCACTCTAACCACTGTGCCACCTCAGCTCATGATGCACCAGTTGAGGTCTTTCCTGGCCTAAGTAGCTCTGGAAGCATTCTCATCACTACACATTTAAGCTACCGTAACAAGCTTTATATGAGGCTACCCCTGAAGACAACTCCAAACAATTGCTAGTACAAAATGCAGCCGGCAAGGCATCAGTGGATGAGAGTTACTATGGTCATTTAACATTTTGAAAATTCAAATCTGATGGATGCTATTGCGTATTTATTTGAATGTTATTAATACTATTGAGATATGTATGTACTTACTATCAAAATCTACATCAACATGTGGATGATCCCTCACAACTTTGTGAAGTCTTTCTGCCTCCAGCTTTGCAATAATTGAGTCGAAATAAGCAATCGCTTCAGTCACATCTGAATTGAGTTGTAAGCCATTTCTGTCTGCAGAGATCTGGATGGTGTGACAATGGTTCAATTAGAATAAACAAGCATTATAATTGCAACCCTCCCTCCAACTTTTATGAATACAAAATGTAGACCGTTCAGAAAACAAACCAATAAGATGCTAAGAATTTTTTTTTTGCTAATTTGTCTTAGGCTCCATTTGAATTAGCTATTATGCTGCTTTTTGTAATATATGTGGATTATCTTTAGTGTTGTCTCTGGGTGTGTGGATATATAAGTAGATAAGCAAAAAAAAATCATTTTCCAGGTGTATGTGTGTACGCGCGCATTCCAAATAATATAGAACTATTCTTGATACTATTATTGGTTCACTGACAAAAGCGCGCTGACAAAACCGAGGCAAGAAAACCATGACATCGAAATCATGGCCACAACAGCGCGCCGACAACAGCGCATCGACAAAAGCGCACCATCAACAAACAATGCGAAAACAAGGTAATAACCCTATCCCTAACCCTAACCCTAACCCTAACCCTAATCCTAAACCTAACCCTGAACCTTAACCCTAACCCTTACCTTAACCCTAATCGTGCTTTTGTGGGCGTGGTTTTGTCGGCGCGCTGTTGTCGTGCGCACATTTGTCGGGTCACGACAATCATTATTGGCCTTATGATTCTTTTGCATCGAGGCCGATCTCAACTTATAACTACCAGGAAAAAGCAAGCAAATGAGAAAAAGTGGTTAGCTAAAAAATATTCAGAAAAAAACCCCAGGAAGCCAAATTTGGTCAAAATAATGTTGAACTTTCCTTTTACTGAAGTACTGTAGGCCTTTTTGGTATTTTGGAATGCTACTCCATGAGCCACATTTAGTAAAGCAAGAAATGAAGAAAACTTACTTTTCAGAATATCTACAAAAAAAAGGTTGCCTATTCCTAAGTCTTTTTTTATACGGTGTGACAAAAAGTCTATTGATTAGCTTTCTCACTTGAACCATTTGGAATCTTTGAAGAATTCTAATAGCACTTGAGGGGAGGTGGTGGCTTAGTGGCTAAGATGCTGAGCTTGTCGATCAGAAGGTTGGCAGTTCAGTGGTTCAAATCCCTAGTGCCGCGTAATGGACTGAGCTCCCATTACTTGTCCCAGCTTCTGCCAACCTAGCAGTTCGAAAGCACATAAAAATGCAAGTAGAAATATAAGGAACACTTTGGTGGGAAGGTAACAGTGTTCCATGTCCCTTCGGCATTTTATCATGCCGGCCACATGACCACAGAGACGTCTTGGGACAGCACTGGCTCTTCTATGAAATGGAGATGAGCACCGCCCCCTAGAGTCGGGAACTACGAGCACATATGTGCAAGGGGAACCTTTACCTTTTTAATTTCACTTGATATCAAAGTATGTCTCTTATTGACATAAATTAAAATCTTAGCATCTTTGTTACGGGGAATGGATCTGGTAAAGTTGTAATACAGATATGGAGAGAATTGCTGCATGGCTACTAACATCTTCAGAGTGATACATCCCCCACTTTTGCTAGCAAGTTCAAATTGTCATTCGTATTAGTATAAAAAAAAAGTGGTGGGCTATCCAACACAGTAAACAATGCATTAATTTACAGTTTTTATTTTTTTGAAGTGGAAACTGAGTGATTTCTGTGAGCAGTTAGCATGGCCATAAACAGACATATAGCTTAATACATAGAAGACAAATGTCTATGAAGATTCTCAGTCATCCAGGTCAGGGTTGTCTCAAAGGTGCTTTTTCAAGAGGCAAGTGGACTTTCTTGTTTTCCTTTGCAGACGTTTCATTTCTCATCCAAGAAGCTTCTTCAGCTCTGACTTCCTTTCTCCACCATCCAGTCAGAGTTGAAGAAGCTTCTTGGATGAGAAGCGAAACCTCTTCAAAGAAAAACAAGACAGTCCAGATGCCTCTTGAAAAAACACCTTTGGATAGAAGACAAACGTGTGAAGAAAAAGAGAAGGTTTATTCTCTTTCGTTTATTAAAAGAATGACATAAACATTTGTCAAAAGGAAACAAAACCTTCTTGTTGTTCCTTCCCAAAGGTTGAAGCTTGAGCTTCAGTTTCTTGAAATTAAAACTCCTCCAGTCATGGATTTAACCACCAGGGGATCTTCATTTTCAAACTGCTCATACTATAGAGTGTGTGTTTGTGTGTGTGTGTGTGTGTTTTAATTGCTTTATTTTTCTGGTGAGAGAAGCAATTTTATCCCAATCAGTGGTAGCTTTTAAGCTTGTTTATGATTGGTGAGAACACACAAAGCCTGAAAAGTAAATGTCCTTAGAATATTATATGTGAATAGGCTGTGTTAGTGTGACAGACTATATGGAGTCTGACACTAAAGGTTGTTACAAAACATAAACTTACCACATTCCCAAACTCATAGTTCATCTCCTCACATGCAAGTTTATTTCATTCTTATTTCAATTCTCCAAACAGAGTGGTTGTAACATATTTTATGTAAACTTGGGAGTAACATATCCTACCTTAGAAGTCATTTTGGGAGGAGAGGCTTGGGGTTTTGTTGTTGTTGCTGAAGATTTTGTAGGCAAAGGGGAAATTTCAGGCCCTCTGCCTAAGGCTTTCAAATCCTTGACACCCTCAATGTATTTTTTCCTCAGAGCTAACAAATCTTGTAAATATTGCAAACAGTCTTGCGTCTTTGAGTACATCCATGCCTTTTCTTCTTTCAGCTGAAGGCAGACAACTGAATTAAGGCTGGTGGTACTTTTGCTTTTTTTCAGAGGTTCGGTTAATGTGTGCTCCTCATCTCGGAGAGCATACATAGAGGTGCTACGGATCAAACGAACTGCAGAGCCATCAGAAGCTGGGATCCCATCAGATAAACTACTCCTGCTGGAGTTGGGATGAAATATGGAGTGTATTTTCCTGAACATAGTGTAGTTCCTTCTTCAGCTATTCCGTCTAACATTCAATCTCACTTCAGTTTGTCTTCTAATGGACATTTCTTGCCAATACAGGAAAAGGTTGCCCGTGTTGATTATGAATTGGGATCGGGTTTTCTTCTGCTTCAGACTTCCTTTGGCCCATTTCTTCATTTCTTTTCCAAACTTTGCCAAAGATGAAGGAGTGCAATGTCATCAGTCTTATCTTTACGACGCCTGCATTTCAGCTCACCTAAAGGTTGTTGCAGCTCTTATTTGCTTCTTTGTGCTGACCATGGTGCTGAAATAGTCTACCATTATAATGAAAAATATTTAGCACTTCTGAACTATGTCAGGAGGCTACATAAAAGATGCTAACACATCAGTATCCGGTGCATTTCTAATCAATATTGGATAATATCCTGCAGAAGCTGGCAGCTAGAAGGGATTTTGTTTTCTCTGCTATGGCAACCGAAGCATGGTTACCGCTATCTGATAACACACACGAGTGTTGAGAATAAAGCAAGCTAAGATCCATTACACTCAGCATGGAAGACTGGCCTTCAAATAAAACACATCTAATAATCTAAGATGGTTATTGTTGATCACTATAGGCACAGTTAATCTAACGCTGTACGTGATAGATTTAATGTATTTTGTTTTCCTTGGGGGACTGAATATTCAGATGCCCGCCTGAAACCCAAGGTCTAAGAACTCACTATCCTTTTTTGCTTCTGGGAGAGTTCCCTGAGAGCTTTGGTTAAGCACATATGAAGCTGTAGTGCAGTGATGGGATTCAATTATTTTTATTACCAGTTCTGTGAGTGTGGCTTGGTGGGTGTGGCTTGGTGGGCATGGCAGGGGAAGAATACTGTAAATCTCCATTCCCACCCCACTCCAGGGGAACGTTATTGCAACATCCCCATAGCTGGGACTCAGGAGACAGGGAATAGATGGGGGTGGGGCCAGTGAGAGGTGATATTTACTGGTTCTCCAAACTACTCAAAATTTCTACTACTAGTTCTCCACAACTGGTCAGAACCTGCTGAATACCATCTCTGAATTGTTTGTATTTTAAGAGAAGGGATAAATTACTAAAATGGTTTATACTCGTGATGAGGAGGGAAGTAATTCCTTATAAATTTCCTTCCTTTAGTATATTTTTTTTCTTTTCCGCTATTGGTTCTCCAGAACTGGTCAGAACCTGCTGAATACCACCTCTGGTGTATTGTTTGGGGAGGGCTAATGAAACATCAGATAGTTGCTAAGTTTTTCTCCCCTTCCATAGGTAATCCTCAATTTGTGACTACAGCTGGCACCAGAATCTTGGCCATTGAGTGAAGATGCCCACGTAACTGCTTTGCTCAACAGCCACAATCCAGGCATTCCCAGCTGTGGTCATGAAGCAATCTCCCAGGCCACTAAGCAGACAGAGGGAAAGAGCTGCCTGCTTAGCTCAGCTCTCCTCCATGCACAGAAAGGAGCTGCTCCAGCGTGCTGCAGGAATGGAGCTTGGACCTTTGTGATTAGTGCTCTGTTTCTCCATCCCACCTATGGAGCTCCTCTCAGTAGGCACCTCTCTCAGCCAGAGACAAGAGATTCCTCTTGGCAGGTAGCAGCCTGCCAGCTTCCCCATTATCTTTCCGGTGAAGCCATCAGAGAAGATTGCAAATGGGTAAGGATTGGAGACCACCAGGACAGCAGCGTAGATTAGGAAGTCGGAATAATATAATGCCTCCCCGAGGAAGGCAGCAGCAAACCACTAGGTTCAATAATCAAGCAAACTATGTGAGAATATACACAAAGGTTCTAGAATTCTAATTCTGATTCTGAAAAGTTTTCAGAAACCATTTTTTAATATTAAAAAAACCCTGAAAATATAATTACAATGCTTGCTGTCTTTGAATGTAACACTCAAAACCACATGGGTTGGTTGCATTATCCTATCAATCTCCCCGTCACCCAGTCTTGCTACTCTATGCTATTGTCCACCTGCAAATACTCTGGTGAGTGGTTGAATGATACAGTTCTCATGTATACAACCTGGAAAGATGTGGTACTCATCCTTCCATCATCTGTCTTCAAAACCCATCTGAACTGCTACCTAGTGAATGAGGGCAAAGGAGAGAAGAGCAGTGGGAAAGAGATGATGACCTTCAGTATTGCTTACCAAGAATCTGTTCCACTGCTCCTCAAACTTAACCGTTTTAAGATGTGTGAGCTTCAGCTCCCAGAATTTCCTAGCCAGCATGCTGCCTGGGAAATCTTGGGTATTAAGTCCATATAGTCCCTAGGTTGACTCAGCCTTCCATCCTTCCATGGTCAATAAAATGAGGACCCAGATTGTTGGGGGCAATATGCTGAGTCTGTAAAACGCTTAGAGAGGGCTGTAAAGCAGGGGTCTCCAACCTTGGCCACTTGAAGACTTGTGGACTTCAACTCCCAGAATTCTGCTGGCGGAGGAATTCTGGGAATTGAAGTCCACTAGTCTTCAAGTGGCTAAGGTTGGAGACCCTGGCTGTAAAGCACTAAGTGCTATTGCTATAGTTATACGTATATCTTAACGTTATCAAGTTTGAGAAACGCTGATCTATTCAGAAAACTCCATCACCACAATACAGTATCATAATCAGCTTTGCTGTGGAAGCTGTTGCAGGAAGAACAAAAGCAATATCATTTCAACTTATCCTCTCCATGGGTTGCTTGGAGTTTTGAGACATCCATAAAAAAGCCAGAGTAAAATTGGAGCAGACTGTATCAGGGAAAATTCTCATTTCCTTTGCTTTGAGTTCTAACTGTTCTGAAAGCACAGCTGGTGCTACCTTGTGGTGCTTTAAAGAAGTTTTAGAAAAGGGTAGATTTACATGACGCATCCATTATTAATACACATGCTTAGAAAGAGATGTAATGTTTTACAGATGGCACCTGGCACCTACAAGGTTAACTAAAATCTTAACAAATACCTCCCCAAAATGTTGGAAATGCGAATCAATACACGGAACATATTACCATTTATGGTGGACCTGTGAGGAGGCTAAATTTTTTTGGAAAAGGATCAGAAATTGGCTGGAGGCAATAACAGGGGTTAAAATAGAATGGAAACCTGAAGTTTTTTTAATTAGGAATAATATCTGCGAAATACAAAAAAGAAATCCAGTATTTAATACTACATATAATTACGGCAAGGATTGACTTTGCCCAGAAATGGAAAAACAAATTAATTCCAAGCAAAGATGAAATAATAAGAAAGGTTATGGACTGTGCTGAAATGGACAAACTAACTAAAGAAATCCAGGGAAAAGAAGAATCAGAATTCTACCAGATATGGGATAAATGGTATAGGTGGATGGAGGAAAGAAACAAAAATCAATGAAGGAATATAACAAAACTCAAAAAATAATAGTTATGAGTAAAATAAGAGGGTTAAGAATGGTGAAATCCAAATGAAATACAATAGAAGGGGAAATAATATAAGGTGAGCGATATCGATTGATAATTGCTATTATAAAGAACAGGAAGTTCCTGTTCGTATTGTGTTGTACAAATGTGGTGTACGTCTAATTTTTTTGTGTGTGTATTTTACATGTTTGTTAATAAAAATCTTTTTTTTTTAAAGAAAGAGATGTAAGATCTTGGTTGTGTGGTTTAGTGTTTTTTTTTTAATTCCAAATTATTAGTGTGAATATTTTACTTTTTTCCACTTTGAATGTTGAAAGTTCAGGCACTGACATTGCTTCAACTGCCGTTTTATTGCAAAGCTATTAGATTAGCAACTCATTTTGTATAAATAAATCCCAGATGATTATAACTCAAATGTAAGTGCATACTTGCAGATGAGTGGATAGGCAATGTGTTTGAAAAAAGAAAAAAAATCAAGTGTCTATACACGAAGTGGTCTAAGTCATGGGTGTCAAACTCAATTTCATTGAGGGCCACATCAGATTTCTTTTTGACCGCAGGGGACCGGTGGGGGGGGGGAAAGCTGGGGTGGGCGTGGTCAGCTCGACATCAGAGGTGAGTTCCTACCGGTTTGGACCGGTTCGGCTGAGTAGGTAATAATTCGGCCTGCAATGCCCCTGAACTGGTTCTATTGTTAGTGGCGCCATCTTGATTTTCGGTGCTGCGCATGCACAGAACAATCTTCATTGCAAAAATGTAATGTTTTCCTTTTTCTAACATTGTGCGCATGCACAGACCTTTTTCAGTGCAAATGCGCTCCCCAAACTGGCAGTAATGCAGGCAGCAACTCACCCTTGCTCGACATCACTCATGTCGGGGGCGCCTGTCGGGGCCCGAGCACTCTGCCAGTGAAAATGGGCTCCTGAGCTCTGATTTTGACTGCGACGGCCTCCTGCAACCCTCTGCCAGTGAAAACAGAGCATGGGAGGGCCACACACAGCTTTCCTGAGCTCCATTTTTGCTGGCAGAGGCACCATAGGCCAGTCATTCGCTGTTTCCAGGCTGGCCCCATGAGTTAGGGCCAGATCTAAGCACACCCACAGGCCTGATCAGGCCTGCAAGCCTTGAATTTGACACCCCTGATCTAAGTGATATAGGGATTTCTCAGATGTGACGGAACGCAATAGGATTGTATTCTTCGTTCCTTCTGAGTTTTCTCTTCTTGTCAAAAGTAGACACTGGAAAGTAGATACATACAAGAGGCTGTAGACAGGCATTCCATAGTTATCTAAGACTATGGTTGCATAATGGGACACGGTGGCTCTGTGGCTAAAATGCTGAGCTTGTCAATCAGAAAGGTCAGCAGTTCGGCGGTTCAAATCCCTAGTGCTGCATAACGGAGTAGCTCCCATTACTTGTCCCAGGTTCTGCCAACTAAGCAGTTTGAAAGCATGTAAAAATCCAAGTAGAAAAATAGGAAATAGTGGAAATATAACCGTGTTTCGTGCGCCTTCGGCATTTAGTCATGCCAGTCACATTACCATGGAGACGCCTTTGGACAGCGCTGGCTCTTTGGCTTTGAAACGGAGATGAGCAGCACCCCTAGAGTCAGG